ATGCTGAAACCTATCAAATCACGTCCGATTGACCTCAAATTTTGCACACAAGTCATATTCGATATTACAGACCTACTCCAACTTCCGGAATCAAAATCCGACCCCGATATAGTAAAGTCCACTTCCGGACAAACTCCTCAAAACCTTCAAATTTCTATCTTTAGCCAAATGACTCCAAAATGTCCCACGGACCTCCGAATTCACTTCCAATCGCGCTCCCAACACCAGAATCACCATACAGAGTTATTTCCAGACTCGAAATCCCAAACAGACATCGATAACACTGATATGCACTTCAACCCAAACTTATGAAATTCTTTAAAAAATGTCAACTTCCACAATAGGTGCCGAAACGTTCTCGGGTCTCCCAAAACCCGATCCGGATGTACGCCCAAGTCCGAAATCATCATACGAACCTGTTGGAACCTTCGAATCCCAATTTCGAGGTTGTTTACTCAAAAATCCAATCTTAGTCAATTCTTCCAGCTTAAAGCTCTCGAAATGGGAATTCTCTTTCCAAATCAACTCCGAACTTCCCGTAATTCAATTCCAACCACGCGTACAAGTCATAATACCTGAAGTGAAGCTTCTCATGGCCTCAAACTGTTGAACGACATGCTAGAGATCAAAATGACCAGTCGGGTCGTTACAATTAAAATGTATTCGCATTGACAATGGTGGTGAATATTGTGGTCCCTTTGATAACTGTTGCAAGGAACAAGGAATTCGTCATCAGAAAACTCCACCCAAGACGCCTCAATTGAATGGTTTGGCAGAGAGGATGAATAGAACTCTAGTTGAATGAGTTAGATGCATGCTTTCAGAGGCTAAACTTCCAAATACATTTTGGGCAGAAGCACTTAATACTGTTGCCTATGTTATCAATTTGTCTCCTGCTGTTGCTTTGGATGGTGATGTCCTAGATAGAGTTTGGTTTGCCGAAGATATTTCTTATGATCACTTGAGAGTTTTTGGGTGTAAAGCTTGTGTGCATGTTCCTAAAGATGAGAGATCGAAACTGGATGTCATAACTAAGCAGTGCATTTTTATCGGTTATGGTCAAGATGAGTTTGGGTATCGTTTTTTTGATCCAGTTGACAATAAACTTATTAGAAGTCGTGATACAATATTCTTTGAAGACCAAACTATTGAAGATATTGACAAAGCTGAGAAGATAGATTCTCAGAGTAATGAGAGCTTAGTTGATATTGATCCAGTTTCAATTGCTAAGGCACCTATTGCACATGAAGGAACCCAAGACAATGATGGAGATAGTGATCAAGATCAAAATGATCATCATGGTATAGATGTTATGGATCCTTCAGTTGATGAAGTTGTGGTTGATCAGCAACCAGTTCCTGCTCAGGTAACTACTTCGAATGCTCCTGAAACCTCTCTTAGAAGATCTACAAGGGAGAAGCAAAAATCCATGCGCTATCCTCCTGATGAGTATGTACTTTTGACTGACATGGGAGAACCTAAGAATTATGATGAAGCCATGCAAGATACTCATAAAGATCAGTGTATTGAAGCCATGAAAGATGAGATAAAGTCACTCCATGAGAATGGCACGTATGAATTAGTAAAATTGCCGAAAGGTAAGAGAGCTTTATCTAACAAATTGATATTCAGAATAAAGTAAGATAAACATACCTCTACGCCTAGATACAAGGCGAGGTTAGTTGTTAAAGGTTTTGGCCAGAAGAAGGGAGTTGACTTTGATGAAATTTTCTCCCCTGTTGTGAAGATGTCTTCTATTCGTGTGGTTCTATGCTTAGCCGCAAGTCTAGATTTAGAGCTTGAGCAGATGGATGTCAAGACTGCTTTTCTTCATGGTGATTTAGATGAGGAGATTTATATGGAGAACCCTGAGGGTTTTGTAACTAAGGAAAAAGAGAAATTATTTGAGGTTGAGAAGATACACACTGATGAAAATCCTTCGGATATGCTGACTAAGGCGGTGCTTCCAGATAAGCATGCGTTTTACAGAAAATTGGCAGGCATGAAGCCTGTCAATAGTTCCTCTACTTGAAGACACATTTCGTCCCTTAGATGGAGGGGGAGTTTGTTGGGCACATGCCCATGTTGTCTAGCCAAAGGCCCAATGGCCTAATCGTATTCTCTTTTGGTTTCCATTTCTATTCGGAATTGGATTTGGTGTTTATTCCTATTTAGAGTTGGTTTTGGCTTTAAGAGAAAGCACCACTCATGATTTATAAATAGGACAACCTCGGAGAATTGTTCTATGCTCATTGATATAAGTCTTTGAAAGACTTAAGCACATAAGGGCGGTTTTTGAGAGAGCTATCATCAAGAGAGAGGAGAGAAGAAAAATATTTGTTTTGCTGCAGATTTTTATTCCAACCAGCCAACTTCAAATTACATTTTCCGATTCGTTAACCGTTGGATCAGGCTGATATTTTGACTTAGTGTTTGAAACATCTTGGTCTTTGATTTGAACGGTGAAGATCGAATTTAGAGGCCCGTAGCATCTGATTTTGAGCCTCGAACAACAACTTTATTTTTGTGGATTCTCCTCTTTCTTCAATTGATTAGTTGTTGTTCTTGTTGCTCCGTGTTTGACACTTGTTGTGTAGCCAATTTGGAGAACTTTTGTAACCCTCTTATTGTTATAGTGGAGCTTTTTGGATCTTTGTGATCCCGTGGTTTTTACCTTCGATTTGAAAAGTTTTCCACGTTAAAATTTGGTGTTCTTTATCTTCTTTATTTTCGGATTTGCCTCTTCCTCGACATAACAATTACCTTTGTTGAATCAACATTGACTTCCAATGGTGTCAGTTGGTGACGTAGAGCAATTTGTAATTCTTCCGGTGGTCCCCTTATTTTTGTTATCCACTGTGTTATTTTTTTGGTGCTAAAGTGTTCTTTCAAGTTGAGGCCATGAATTTCTGATAGAAAATTTGTTACTATGGCCATAGAATGTTACCGGTACGCATTTGGATGACATTATGTTCTATTTAATTTGTGTACAAAATGTAGTAAAAAATTTGATTATGATCTTCTTCTCTCTTTTTTTTTTTTTTTTTTTTTTTTTGTTGAAAAAGGCATGTGACCGTCGAATCCTTTGATGTTATGTGGTAGAGTTTCATTGGATACTAAATACGTTGATAAGTGAATACTACTATTTTTTTGGGAAATTACCAACTATGTCCATTTATAAGTAGCTCATTACAAAAATTGGCCAATTGATAATATATTACTAATATTAGCCAAATTAGCCAATTAGCTATTTGTAGCTAAAAAAATATCAAATTTTTGCTTTGTTTTGAGTGGGTGTTATTATAATAGATTGGGCACAACTTAAGGAGCTTGAGTCTCAGTTTTAGGATGACTTGGTGAAGTTTTGAGGTGGTTTGAATTGAAAATTCGAAGTAAAAGCTGAACATGAAAAAAAATGATATGTGTATCACACTGTGTATCACATATGTATCATATGTGTATCAACTATGTATCACATGTATATCCATGTATACCTGTGTGTGAGATACATGCGTGATACATGGTTGATACATGTGTCGCAGAAGACTTTTTTGAAATCGATTTAATTACGAATTTTGATACAAAACCAATCCAAATTACCTCCAATCTTCCTCAAATTTTGTATATTGACTAATATATATATTTTCAATGAATTTCAACTATACCCATTGAAAAAGTTACTTTTTTGTTTAGAGTTTTGGAAGATTGTATAGATTTTTGTATTTTATCACTTATTTGCTACCCCGTCCATGAAATTTTCTTTCCGTCTTGTATCTAATGTTGCTAATCACGCTTAAAAATATGGAAGGTGATTTTTTCATGTGATTCTTTGAGAGAAAGAACCCTATTATTTGGTTTTTCAATTTTTGTTGGCTAGTTTTGGTAAGTCTATGACTAATGGCTAGAGATTGGTAAGTTGATATTTATTTGGGACATTTGTGTAAGTTTTCCTTTTTTTTTTTTCCTTTGTAAGAGTTTAGTGAATGCGTTTGCACCCATCCTTCTGACACGATTTTTAAAAATAGATAATAGTTTTATTTATCCGTACTTTTCGTTTATTATGACGATTAGCTATTATATTCTATAGCAACATTTGACATTTAGATCTTATTTGATAGTTATAAACAAATAATTATAATTAAAAAAATATAAGTTCATTTTCAATTTATTAATGCCGTAAAAGATAATTTTAGTTTTAGAACTTTAAATGAAATACATATTTCGTTAATTAAAAATTAAAAAGAGCCAATACAACATTAATAATGTGATATGTGTCAAAAAAAATGGCAGAATACAAGAAGTCCCAAAATTCATCTTTTAATTTCTCATGTTCCAAAGTTAACAAAAGTTTTGTACATTCCAGATTCCTTGTTGGAATTTACAAATTTGTTAAAGTTATGTTTCCAATAAAATATAATTACAAGATTGCTACTCTCTCCGGTCCAAAATAAGTGATTTTTTGGATGTTTTTACACAGATTAAGAAATTCAGCTTTTAGCATTAATTAGCAATAGAATTGACCATATTAACCTTTACTATCTCACATAAACACACCTAACACATATTCCAACACTATTTACTCCAAGGACAATGTAGGAAAAAAATAATTAATTCATTCTTGAAATCTGAAAAAATCACTTATTTTGGACCACAAGAAAAAGGCTAAAAAATCACTTATTTTGGACCGGAGGAAATATTTGATTATTACTATCAAATAACAAATATACAGATATTTGAGTAAGATTATCATATATATGTGATTTTACAAAGAGTATCATAATAATGATGGAAGTTAGGCAAAATATTACATAAAATTTTGATTTTAAAGTAAATTGCCTACTATAGCGAAATATGTCATAGAAATAACTGTTATACAAAGTCTGAGTGTATAATACTCTTGTTACAAATGCATAATGTGTGTAATGATTTATAAACACGAACTTAAAATTCTAAATTTACACTTACGTTAAATCATAATTCGAACTTTTGCATTCTCATGGAAAGGTCTTTAGAATTGAGGAAGGTGCAGGCTCATATTATATTACTGCAATAATAAATGTGGGAACATAAACAGACAAAGTCAAAATCCATTGGAGCAGGCTTGGTAAACAAGCCAACAATATAAAACTTTTCTGATCCAGAGAGATCTTGAAGAAGTCAATATAAACCAAAGCCCGAGAACCTCACCTCAACACAAAGCAAAGTATCAATCTCCAAAACTTCTCAAATTCTCTCTCAAAACTCAAATAGGAAAAAGCTATGGCTGGAGTTGAATTGCTCCCCAAAGAATATGGATACGTAATTCTTGTTCTTGTCTTCTACTGTTTCCTTAACTTCTGGATGTCATTTCAAGTCGGCAAAGCTCGCAAAAAGTACACAACTTTCACTCAATTTTGTCATTGTTCTGCGTATTTCTTGATTTTTCCCGACCCCTTTTTGATTTTGTCATTTGAAGCTAAAGATTCGTTTTTTACTTTTTTGTTAAAAATTATCCCAAACCCCCTTTGTGATTTTGTGTTTGGGAGCTAAATATACTGATTAATAATGGAAATACTTAAACAGGTACAAGGTTTCTTATCCAACAATGTACGCAATTGAAGCTGAAAATAAGAATGCTAAGCTCTTTAATTGTGTTCAGGTTTGCTCTCTATTTCTGTTTTAAGAATATTCACCATATTATTTGCTTTCTATTTAGAGCAAAAAGTAAAAATTGTTATGGTAATCTTCTGTGTGTATATATATATATATATGATATGATATTGGTAATTATAGTTTGGGAAATGATATGGATATATTGCTTTGATAATTGCAGAGAGGTCATCAAAATTCATTAGAAATGATGCCAATGTTTTTCATGCTGATGATTATTGGAGGAATTAGGCACCCCTTGATTTGTGCATCACTTGGAGCTGTTTATATTGTATGTCGCTTTTTCTACTTCACTGGCTATTCCACCGGCGATCCCCAAAATCGTCTTACTATTGGGTTAGTCTCTCTTCCATGAATGATTTTCTTTTTCCAATTACCAATTATCATTTAGATTGAATTTCTCTTACAATTTGTGTATCCAAATATGTCAAAGTAAGAAAAGAACAATGCTTTGCGTATGAACCTTTTGACCTTTGACAAGTGAAGCGAATCGTTCACTTTGCTCTTGCCTAATGCGCAACAACAACAACCATCCTCCAATCCCAAACAAGTTGGGGCTAATGGCCAGAATAAGAAAAATTAATTGAATTATTATGTGCTTGTTATGATGGTGGTGATGGTTTTTCTTGGGGGGGTTTGAGTGGGAAAGTTAAAGAAATGGTGGGTAATGGCCTGGATGCTAATTACAATGGTTTTACCTTTCTGCAGGAAATATAATTTCTTGGCAATAATGGGGCTGATGATATGCTCAATATCTTGTGGAGTTAATCTCCTTATGTCCTGAATAATAGTCTCACATCGGAGCTGTTCCTAGTAATTCCCTTTATTTCCAGTAGAGGCTGTCTTTTGTGTCTTTCCCTGTTGCATTTTGATGTTGCCGTTTGGTTTAGTTCTCTCGTTTTCCTGGTTGCTGCCAGTTTCCAGCTCTTGTAATGTGATCCAGGTCTTTTAAGTTGGACCTTCTTGTGGAATTCTGTTAATAATACGAGTTAATTGGTACTTTCTGTATCAAGATATATTGTCTGTGTACTGTTTCAGTGTTTGTCATTTCAGTTGCAGTGAATTTATGATGATTTGGAAGGAAAGTTTGCTAGTAAAATTGACCTGATTGACAGTCTAATAGGACTTCATGGTTGAAATTCTTTGATCTTAACTAGGTCTGATTGCTGTCTAAGTAAATATGAAGAAGTACAAAGGGTTGAGTCATGTGACCAGTTTATTTTGCTGTCTAAGTAAATATGATGAAGTAGGAAGTGTTGAGTCATGTGACCAATTTATTTGAAAGTACAAACAGCAGAGAGATAGAGAGCACATTTTAATAGGTATTTAGGTATGTAACATGCTCCTTGATGCATGGGCTTGAACCTTTTGAGTAACCTCAGACCAAAGCTGGAATGGTTAAAGAATGAATATGGCATGCTTGGTTCAAGAAATTCAAAACTGTAGTTGGAAGACCCCCACCAACATCCAATGTCTAGCTATGGCGAAGCCGAGAATCTGGTAAGGATGTTCAAGATCTAAGATATGATGAAGTACATATTATGAATAAGTAATATTTGATCCGATGAAAGGTGTTTAGTTGATCACCCTTCGGCATACCTAGCTTCGCCTACCCATCCAGAAACCTAAGGATCATAATGAAATATACCAGATAAGTAAGCATTTTAAATACAATAATTACTCTTATTCTTGGCACCTCCTTTTTTCGTTTAAGGGGTGAGCTTTATTTCTAAGCAAACCATTATGTTTTTTTTTCTCCTGAGAAATGTACAGAACTTTCATTAATACCATAATGTTTACATCAATTGTTCTTATGAACTTCTGCTCCAATACAAAATTGTTACTCTTTCGGTTGTTGGATGCGCAAAACAACTTATTCCCCTTTGCGACGACTCGGTGACCTTTGATACGTTACACCTGGTTGCACGTAATCTTTACTTTCGCCTTTCACTCGTGCAGTTGGACTGGCTAGTGACTTTATTAAACTTTGAGACCGAGCCTGCCTCTCACCTTTCGGCCGGGTTCGAGTAGGAATAAATTGACTAAGAAGTAGGACATACAACAATGGATCAATTCATTCAACAAGATATGTTTGGATCAGACCAGGATGAATGAGGTTGGTCTGACCTTTTTGCGAAGGAATAGGTTTATGCGTTTTCTTTACTATTATGCTATTTCTTCCGTCTCGAATGTGATTCGTATTTGATGCTCTTATCGGATTGGGAGCGGCATTTGGTATTTACACGGAGCCAATTCACATGTTTGCACATATACTTTTCACACTTAAATCATAATTAATAAATACTACTACTACTACATATTTTTTAATCTCATTAAATTACTTAACCAAGGTAATTTGAATAAATTGGAACAATTCCAAACTTATCTGGGGGATTCCGACATTAAGACTACCAAAAAGAAGAAAAAAGAAAAGGGAATCGTGTTTTATTTTAAGAAAGACTCGATTTATAGTTGATGGTTGTTTATTTTCTCCTCTCTCGTCAAGACGTAACCTAATCAAAATAATTTGAAACCAGTCAAAACCCAGAGCGTTATTATTATTTTTTAATTATCAAAGCGTCCTAGGTCTTATCATTGGCATTGTTCCAGTCCCTTGGACAGACCGTCCAGAGTCCAGACCGATGCTCCTAATGTTCTAACTCAGAAAGTATAGTCGTTCTCTCTTCCTGACCCTTCGGCCAAGCCAATATCATCTCAGACACAAAATTTACCTTTTGACTGGAACACAGCAGTTCTCAGATATTACTCCCTTCGGTCCAAAATAAGTGATTTTTTGAATGTTTTCACATAAATTAAGAAATCCACCTTTTAACATTAATTAGCAATGGAATTGACCATATTAACCTTTACTATCTCACATAAACACTTGTAACACATATTCCAACACCATTTACTTCAAGAACAATGTAGGAAAAAAATAATTAATTCATTCTTGAAATCTGGAAAAATCACTTATTTTGGACCATAAGAAAAAGGCCAAAAAAATCACTTATTTTGGACCGGAGGGAGTAATTGTCAAAATAGCACGGTATAGCCAGTTTTCGAACTGGTCATTCAAAAATACTCAGCGTTTATCAAGTCAATGAAAAATAGCCACTATTTTGCTGCAACAGAGACCGGTCCAGCATAATATACTGGAGTTCGGTGCACCTGTGTATGAACTCCAGCATATTATGCTGCACCGGTATACTTTGCTGGCTCCACTATAATATACTGGAGACTGGAGTACTGGTGCTCCAAACTCCAGTATATTATGGTGGACCGGTATACTTGCTGAAACTCCAGTATATTATGCTGGAGTTCTAGTGTACTTATGCTGGAACTCCATCATATTATGCTGGAGTTCCAGCATACTTATCCTGGAACTCCAGTATAATATGCTGGAGTTAAAGTATACTTATGCTGGAACTCCAGCATAATATACTGGCGTATTTTTTCGGGTTTTGAACAGTGTTTTGGCTCAGATTTATCTTTACATGAAAAGTGGCTAAATTTCGATTACTTTTGAAACTGGGCTATTTTTGAACGACCAGTTGTAAATCTGGCTATTTTTGAATTTCACCCATATTAATTTGATTAGTATTGGGTTAAGAAGCAACAACAACAAGAAGCCCAGTGAAATACCACAATTGGAGTTTGGGAAGGATGAAGTATACACACACCTTACCCTTACCTAACAAAGGTAGAGAGGTTATTTCCGAAAGACCCTCGGCTCAAAAGCTAGTATTGGGTTAAGTAGTTGGCAAAAATATTAAAAGTTAAAACAATGATTAACGAATAAGTTTGATAGAGAAACAATTTATACTTCTAAAAAACATCACATAACAACTTAAAATTTGAATAGTTAAAGAATTTATTTTGTGGAAGGTTATGAAATTTGAATGAAATAATAAATAACACGCAAGAATTATGTCAAACATTAAAGTACTACTCAAGATTGAACGATCTTCCAAAAGTTTCCTACTTTTGATGTGTTTTATAACGTTCAGTCATTTAAAAGCAAGTAAGAATACCAATTGCAAAATTGAAATACGACTGAAATTAGAAGGAATTTTAAGAAAAATAGGCAAATTTCTCGAGTTCCAATAACCGATCTTAGACTAAAAATAAAACCAATTGACTAGTCTAAACAAATTAAAATCCCATATAAATGATTTTCTTACTTTCTACCGATCATTTGACCCCAGTTTATCTTACTTTCCATTATGATAGGTTGGTTTAACTGTCGCGTTAATTAGTAATTAGTCCCTAGTGAAAATCGATTATATAATTATAATAGGAAATCAAACTTTATCACCAAGCAAGAAATTTCAATTCCAGAAAACTATAATGTGACCCACAATGCCCATCACTGGTCAGACGACCGTTGAAGGATTCCCTAATCCAAAAATTGGATCAAGATTCCCATCATTCCCCAAACATACTTTCATAAAATAGCATTACAAAGCAGCAACTTTTGTTTTTATTCCTCAAACAACATAAACAATCACACGTTAGGTGACAATATTAATTCTTTTATATTTTGAAAATAATTATAAAGAGCCCTTTTAACGGCTATGTTGACAGACTGCCTACCCCCCCCCCCCCCCCCCCAGCCCGCCGAAGTCAAAAATTTGAAATGCCTCTTCTGCATCTATTTCAATTACCCCATAAAGTTCCCAATTTTTAATTGAGTGGTTTTCTTGAACTCCGAACCCTTTTCCCTTTTTCGACTTATCTTTTTCTCTTCCCCTGCCGTTACAAAACCTTTCAATCTTCCTTGTTCTTCTCACTGTAATTTTGAATTTTTCCATTCTTGGGGAGGAAAAAATGGGGAGTTGTTTGAGCAAGAAGAGCACTTCTTGTTCTTCTTCTAAATCTACTTCTACCACTGTAGTTCAAAACACAAATCAAGAAATCACCAAACCTAACACCCAACTGGAGAACAAGAAAGAGGTAGAGGGAGAAAATGTGAAAAAAGAAATCTTTGTTATCAAACACAGAAAAAGCCATGAAGTGGATAGAAAGTCTGAAGAAGAAAAGGCTAGTGTTAAAAAGATGGCTAATGAGGCAGTTGAATCTGCTAAAAATGGTAACAACAACAATGTTGGAGCAAGCAAAGAGAATGGCATTGTTGTTTCAGCTCCAGTGAGGACTTCAAGTTGTACTAAAGAAGAGGTTGATGCTATTTTGATACAATGTGGGAGGCTTAGCAGGAGTTCATCCACTGGAAAGACTGGAATTTTAGGTTCCAGTGGATCTGATAATAATGGGAATCCTCAAAGGAGTAGAAAGTACTCTGGTTCAAAGAGGAGTTTTGATTTTGAGAATGGGAATGGAAATGAGGGGTTGCAAGAAAATGTAGTGGATTGTGAGGATGATGGAGTTCGTCGCCATAGGCAACGCTCGCGCCAGCCTAGAACGCCTAATTCTCCGTCTAAGGGAAGGAGGAGAACCCCGAGTAGAGAGAGAGACCAGACACAACAGCAGCAGCAGCGGTCGGGTAGTAGAGAAAGAGGCAGCAGCAGTGGAGGAGGAGGTAGAAGGGTGAGTAGATCTCCTGGTAGAAGATCTGAATCACCAATTACTACAAGCTCAAATGGTGGAAATATGGCTTCTGGTAGTGCTAATGGGAATAATGCTAATGGAAATAATGGTGGTAGGCCAGGAAAGATGGTATCAGTGCCAGCTACTGTTACATCTATGGTGATGGATAAGAGCATTGATGTAGGTGCTGATAATATTTCTGCTGCTGCTATTAAGAGGATTCAAGTGAAGAGAAATGCTGATGGACCAAGAACTGCTGCATCTCCGCGAGCTCGGTCACCAGCAAGAGTGAATGCAAAGGTGTTGAATGAGAGAGATAATAATAATAATAACGGGCATTCAAACCAAAATCAACAGCAGCAGCCCATGTCCCTTAGCCGCAGCAATTCAAGGAAACAAGAACAATCTCCTTACAGAAGAAACCCTCTCACTGAGATTGACACCAATGTTGTCTTGGAGCAGATGCCCGTGCCTGGACTGAAGGCTGTCAACAATAATGCCCCTTCCCAGGTTGGTCTTTTTGTTAGTTTCTACATAATTACTTCCTCAAATCTTGTTTTAGTTAGCCTATTTATATACAGACAAATAATTGGTTGTACTAGTATTTGATGCTATGGTTTGTATTAGAAAAAAAACTGTTTGTGTGTCTGACATGAGTTCTGTATTTGTGGGTCTATGTAAGGTTAAGTATGAAGGGGAACGTTGGAGCAATGGTAAAGTTGTTTCCATGTGACCTATAGGTCACGGATTCGAGCCGTAGAACTAGTTAATGCTTGCATTAGAGTAGGCTGTCTGCATCACACCCTTGGGGTGCGGCACTTCCCCGGGCCTACGTGAATGTGGGATGCCTTGTGCGCTTGGCTGCCCTTTTTGTAAGGTTAAGTATGAAATTTGAGTGCGGAAACTATTTTAGTCTCATTAGAAACTTGTATTACCCATGTAGGTATGAGTGTGAAATTTAGAGAATCCTAATGAAGATGAATAATTTATCTGATATAGACCTCTATAAAACCAAATGAATATAAAGCATTTACATAACCGGCCCCAATTAGTTTTTGATAAGGGGTACGTAGTTGATCAGTTGAACTAATATCAATATTTGTGTGCTCTCGCAGAAGTTGAATGCAGAAACTGTAAGCAATGGCAAAGTCAAGGAGCAGCAGCAGATTACAGGGAATGTTGCAATGAATGTGATTGTTTCAGGACCTGAAAGCCATAATAAACCCCAGAGAAGCAGGTCACTAAGGCTATCTAGAGACCTAGATATCAATCCTGAAACTCTCTCAAATCCACCTCAATCTTATACTTCACTATTGCTCGAGGACATCCAAAATTTCCATCAAAAGACCAATACCACCACCCCTGGATTTTCCCTACCACCTTGTGTAACAAAAGCTTGCTCGATTCTTGATGCAGTTGCTGACCTTAACTCAACCACTAGCTCCAATCTGTCCAGTGCTTTCTCCGATGATAGGAGAAGAAACCCTCCCACATGTGAGCAATATAACCAGAATGATAATAAGAAGAGGTTAGGGATCAAGGATCCATTCATGGAATCTGAAGTTGCTGTGAGTGATGACTTAATGGAGCCAAGCATACAGAAGTATGTAACCTTCAGAAGAGGAACTGACATAGAAGATCAAGAATCTTCAGGAAGTAACAGTGTTGTTGGTGGTCAGCAAAATTGGCTTTCCCCTTCCTCATGGGAACCTAATTCAGCTGATTCAACTGACTGTTGGCCTACTTCAAAATCCTACAGTAGAGATGACAACAAGAGTCCTCTAGGATTTCAAAGGCATGCGGTATCCGAGATTGGACACGACATGGAAGAAGGCAAAAGAAGAGTGAATGTGAAGAAGAGGGATTCTTCTGACAACCAGCAATCTGGAATAGGTCGCGGCAGAGTTGGACCTAGAGGCCTTCACACGATTTCTATGGCTGCTTCAACTTAAAAACACCGGACAATTTGTTAAGATGTATGCAGTTTGTTTGAGGATTAGATTTTCTAGTTGTGGTTGCACACTTTGCAACCTTTTTTTTCTTTGAACATTGTATGCTTTGCAACCTTTTGTTTCATTGATTTACTTGAAGCAGATGTTCTTTCATTCTACAGCCTACTCTTAGTCTCTGTGTCACAGTTATATTCGCCTAAGTTCCATGATCGATTCCATGGTTCTAATACTGGAATTTCACTTCAATGTAGGGAACAAGACCATATAATACTCATATTTTTCAAGATTGAAACACTTATAGTAATATTGCATTACCTTTTTCAGGAACTTCTTTATGATAAGATGTCTTACCCAGAAATGGAAGCAAACATTGGAGTTAAAAAGCTAAAGGAGCTAAGTTTTTTTTTGTGAACCTGCCACCACATAGAGTCTTGTCAAAATTGGTTGTAACTGACTAACAACATTATACAATCTAGAGACTACTTGCATAGGTTAAAATTTATAAAACGAAAACCTGGATGTGAACTCTGCAGGTTGCCTTGTGTATATGGCATTTCCAAAGATAAAAAGGCATAGAGCAAAACCAAGAGGTACACTAGTTAATTATTTAAAATATATTTATATTTATTCACAAGGAGGCTATTAAAATAGTACTAATGACTTGAGCAAATCAGAGTTCATAATTATACTATATTTTATTGAAAATCATTTAGATAACGTACACACAAAACCTTGCATATATTATAAGTCGTACCAATTTTTTAAAAAAAGTTCCTTTGGTATAGAATAGAGGGATCAAAGAATGCTCTAAGCGTTCACACAAGGAAAGAAGATATTAATACTTCTGTTCCTTTCCCATTAATCCTGTAAGACCCAAAAAAAAAAAAAAGAAGAGATAATTTACTACTATATCAATACAAAATAGTATGAGTACAACAGTGTCTACAGATACTGAAAAAAAAAACATATATAACAAAAAAAAAAAGATGAACAAAAAATTGTAAAGGAAAGAATGAACGAAATAAGAAAAATTCAAGAAAATAGTGGTGGAATATAATTGATGTATCAATCATCAATTAGAGCCTAAAACCGAACTTGCAATCACTATTCCTAATCCTGATAGCATTATTTGCAGACAAGCTATCCACATCTAGCTTACACTTAACCAAGAACTTCCATTTCATAAGCTTCAATTTTCCAATCTTGAGCTTCACTGGAACTTTTGCCCTGAGATTCAATGGAATACTTCCTCTCTGTTGATCCACCTGTAGTGACTGCAACAATTCACTAGCATTCTCTGTTTGTCCTGATAAATTCAAGCTTAAAACAGTTGTATTCCTATGACCCTGATAAAATTTTGGCAATGACCCTTCACATAGTTTAACACCAGTGTACCAAACACTTAAATGGCTACCACTTTCATAATAAATTCCAATTTTCTTGTTGGGGTTTCTTGCAGTGATGTTAACATTAAAAGTAGCAAATAATAAGCTCATGTCATTGTTGAAATTGAACTGTGTAATCCTCATGCTGTCAACTGAGTAGTTTGGTATTTTTGGTTGGAAAACAAAGTAAAAAGCAGCAGCTAAAGCACCAATGATTATGATGAGAAGGAAAAGCAGACAACATGTGCAACACAAACATCTTTTGCAAGAACAGATTCTTTTCTTAGGTGGTTTTAATGGTGGATAATATGGGATTGTTCTTCTTCTCAAAGGTGGTGGTTCTAATTGCTGTCTCTCAGGGTCACCTTTTTCTGATCTGAAAGAGCCACGTGGCACTAAAGGAACAGTTGGTTTTTGTACTGGTGGCTCCTGTTCTGGCTCAGGAATTGGATGGATTCTTTGATGATCTGCCATGGAAGAAAATTATCTAGTTTACAATAGCAAGAACAGGGATAGTATAAAGTTTTCTCCTTAGACTGGACTTAGATATTTGATATATATAGAAGACTGTCTTTAGACATAAATAAAAAAAAATACAATTAGTGTCATATGTCAAGATCTATAAAGTATATCTGCTGAAGCTTCCTTATTTTGACTTTTTATGAAGAGAGGTTGATGTGTCCCTATCTTAGAAATTTGCTACGTACTAGTACTATTTTAAAAGTAGACACATGCCTTAATAGATAATCCATCCGTTTCATATTGTTTGAGATAGTTTGACTCGGTACGGAGTTTAAAAAAAAAGAAGAAGACTTTTGAAAGTTGTGGTCTTAAAAGCTTAAGGGGTAAAAGGTTTGTGGGGCCATGTCATTTGTGTGGCTATAAAAGCTTCTCATTAAGGGCAAAAAGGTTAAAATGAAGAGTTTAAAGTTGAATTATTTCCAAATTTAGAAATATGTCATTTATTTTGGAACAAACTAAAAAGGAAAGTACCTCATTTAATACGAGAAAAAAGAAGAGAGGACTGAGGACGGTGTTTTTTTATGGGTCAAAGAGGTGACGCGTTAATGTTTTCCAAAGTCAGTGTTTGGTTTGTGTGGAAGTATTAAACTCGTTTTGGTAAGTAGGCAATTTTCTGAATTTATTGGGGGTCAGGTTTTTTCAACAATTCAATCAACAAAGTCTAAATAGTTTGAAAATAAGAGTGCTTTAATAATTGAATTAACTTTATTGCAATATGCCCAAAATGTTGTGCTGTCGGTAAAGACCCGTATCAGTTGTTTATACAAAATTATACTAATTTAATAGAGTTAAGTAATTTAACAAAGTAAAAATATACATTAATTAATTATGGTAAAAGTTATTGATTTAGTATAAATACTCGATGTTTATACAAAAAGAATCGTTAGTATACCTCTAAATCTACAAAAAGAATAGAAGAAAAGTTTTAGGTGTTTAAATCTGACATTTTACTGATGCTGATAGGAAGGGGTGTATATACATCGAGTTGGTTCGGATTTTTTAGTTACCAAATTAAATCAATTTAGATGTAATTTATACATTCTTCTCTCTTTGTTTTTCAGGCTTATCCTATTCTCCTTTTTGTGCAAAGGAGAATTACTTTTGCGAATTTCACAAGCCAAAAAATAGAGCCATAGTATTTGTTGTTAAGGGATATTATTAAACTTTAAAAGCTAAATGTGGGAGCTTTTCATAATTTTTAAAACTCAAGATTACCTAAAGAGCAAGATAATTGTCAATTGTCATCCTAATTTAGTATTTTTAAAGTTTAGAACTGTATTTGATTTTGCTTCGGCAGTGATTCTTCTAGGTATATGACGAAGTCTTAGGTATCAAGAAAAATAAGAAGTCACAAGAAGAACAAAGTTTTTTGGAAGCTTCCAATAAAACTAATATTTTACTAACCACTTTTAAGCCATTTTTCTTAATCTAACGCGGTGACGTTTTGAAACTTACACATTTCCTAAGCCAAAAACGTGTATCATCAGCATGCCTTTTTTAAGGAAGGAAAAAAAAGAAGGGGTGGAGGAGACTTGAGGTATTGAAATGAGAAGAGAAAAAAATTGGTGAGGATGAACTTGTAATACTATGTGACTAGAGCAATTTCGGTTTAATTTTTTGATTTTCGATTTGGTAAGTACGTATTTAAAAAAGCAAAATGAATTCAGTGCCGTTCTGTTCGTTTTACTTTGATTCTTTTCTTCAATAGTTCGACTTTTTGTTTCTTGGGTGCTTGCGAATATCAAATCCTCTTTGATTTTAAGGACAAAAGACTGAAAGAGACATCCATTTAATATGCATAGTGGAAAATTCATGCTTAGTGACAAACCTAAAAGCCACTGGTCCTTCTGTATTTAGTGAATCAGCAAAATATTGGATTAGTTCAACCCTATTTACTACTGCATAAATGTATAATCAAACAATTGAAAGGGATTGCTATGTTTGTTTTGTTTTCGTATTTTCACTGTCGGAGATAGTTATTTAGGTTGCCTGTTATCTTTATTTTTCTAGTGGTTTAGTTAGTTGAACAAGTTGCCTTCCTTTTTATACTTGGTAATGGAGACCAAAATACATACTTTAATGCCGATTGAAAAATCTGGAAGAGGATGAGAATTATTCGACGGATATCCAGATTAAATGTCATCATTAATTTACAGAATTTTTGGAGTTTTATCTCATCTTACTGGCTCAATTACTTGTTATTAGTTGGTCGCTGGACATACTTTTTCCTGAAATGCGGGACTTTTTGGGCTATTCGCCTTTGGGCTTTAGAGTACATTCTTCTATTGGGCTTGCTAGCTTCTCTAGTATTTGGGCTTTGATTAAGTCAAACTGTCTTTAGGTCCATCTTGCTTTTATCAGCTGTTTCGAGGTCCATAGCACGTGCATAGATAGCCATTTTCAAGGATGCTATTTAAGGATTAGCTAGTACTTATTTTGTCCTAAATTTTAAACTGAATATCTTAACTTCAGGACAATTCAAGAAATTTTTCTCCTGAAAAATTGAACTAAAAATCTGAAATTTATGACGCATTGGCTAATTTCTAAATAGCATCCATTTAGAGTGGCTACCTGGTGTCATTTCTACTTTGTTTTGGACTGCTTCGTTTCAGCTTTTCTCTTTTAAAGTCCAGTCGATCGACTCCTGCTATATTATCTTTTGGGAGTGAAATGAATTTAAACATTCACTATATCCTCTTGGTAAAAGTAGGGGTGTGTATTCGATTTATCGATTCGATTTTGACCCTTATCGATAATTACTTATCAATTATCGATTTGTACATATGTTTATCGTTATCGTTTCAATAAGGTTTCGATTTTTTCGATTTCGATTTATCGATTTTTGGGGCTTATCGATTCGGTTATCGATTACACCAATAAGAAAATTTGCGGGATTCCGCGGAAAGTATATCACTATAAACACGCCTAACTAATATGGACCAAAAGAAGCTAAAGTAAGACGAACACCGTTTATAACATAAAAATTGTGTCAACAAGCACATGCAACGAAACTAAAGTAAGGGATCAAATGTATGCCACCAACACTCCAACGGTATAAAAAAAATACATCATCACGGCTAATTCTATTTTTCATTAATTTGAACTTCATTCCCTTGAGCTTTAAATATGATCATTCCTTAAATGTGGTAGATGAAATAATAGGGTTAGGGACTTAGGGTAAAGGAAAGGGTATTATAGAATAAGGGACAAAAAAAAACTTAAAAAAAAAAAAGTAATTTTTTTTTTTTTTT